AAAAAGGTAGGTACCGGAGGGGGGGTGCATATAATTATATATGTGTGTGTGTGTATATATATATATATACATACACATATATATATATATACACACAGATATCAATCCTGAGAAGCTCTTTCGCACCTTTACATCCCAGGCCGTGGGTGGTATCATGCTCAGAAACTCGTTCACGACCCGGGCGTCATCTGCAAAGAAGTCGCGCTCGGCACGGGACATTGGCGGCCTGAATTTGGGGTCAAACTTGGAAGTCATGAATACCTAGCTAGTGTAAAGCCTAAGAGCTTCTAAGGCTGAAGTGCTCGCAGCCAGATTTCTTCTGGGAAACATATTAGTCGGTGTTGATCAAGGCGCTGGGAAACCACACAACTCCACATGTGGCATCAAGCAAGCTGGGTTAGCCGGTGCTCTCCGTCGGGCCTCCTCTTTCCCCGACTGCGCGAGTTCTGCCGCCGATGTCGCTTTCCCGAGGGGTTCATCTGCCAGGCTCCATGATACCAGTAGCACTGAAAAATGCTCGCTTAACCTCAACCTTACATCCGACAAAGGGTTCCAAACCATGCGGGCCCATCGGAACAGATGTGTCGCCCAAGCATTTCCGAACCATCGCTGAAGACACACGGGGAAACCTACCAGTGCAAGATGCAGAAACCTCAATGGCAAGCAGGTCTGCTTTCTGCTGACCAGTCACTGCAGCCAGGATGGGACCATACCATTTGCGGTGGGGCGGGGGAGCAGGAGATGGTCAGACCGTGAGCTTGACTAGTGACTGGTGAAGCTGCATGGTTGAAAGGCTGGACTCCTCTGATGGCCTAAGGGCTGAGGGGCTCCTGCTTCGGAATGCAATGTAGATGGATGCAGACTGCCTCGTCAATCAATGCCTGGACGTCCTTTACTCGGATGCCCATGCTCTGGAGCTTTCGCACCTGGATGGTCAATTTCATTTTTCCATCGACAAAAAAGGCGAGTTTGCAGTTGCTCTCGGCTTCCCTGCTGTAATCAGATCTCACCGTCACATACAGCAAGTCTGAGCCCCATTTCTGAAGTCCAGGCCCGATGCCCCTGAAGCCGCCAAGCCAAAGCAAATTGGTGGGAGATTGATCCGAGTTGGGCCAAGCATCGAGATCACGCTTATGCCAGTCCGCCGTGCCCTGGACCCCGCAAACGTTCCTGGTCTCTGTCACTGTTCGGCGACGCTTTGGCATTTCATTCCATGGCTTGAACAGTCTGAAGGCGTTCTGCATCTCTTACGTGGTTCAAATCATCTGAAGGGATCGCTGCAGACCCAAGGCGAAAACAGCAGAATCATGGAGCCCAGGCCACTTTAGCAGCTGCGCCAGTCTCCAGAATATCCAGAAGGAGCATCAGAAAGAACAGATTGCTTGCTGGGGTGGGTAGAAACTACCTTTTCCACGTTGTCCAATCTTTTCTACGGATTTGGTCTCCCTCGGTGGGCGTTGGATGTAAGACTTCTGTGGTTATGGAGTGCGGGGAGGTTGGCTGTGTCGCTGTCGGCGTCCACTGTGGGTTCGGTGCGCCGGGAACTGCACAGCTGACCGGTGATGGCGCTTTTTCGTCATCAGCTGTGCGGTGTCTCTTAAAAAAACCCAGTGCTAGGCTGCTACCAGTAGCCCTGGCGGCCTGGAACCCGAGACTCTCTGACCCGTCTGCTACTCCACATAAGATCATCGCAGGGGCAGAGCTGTTCGAAGCTGGCCGTCTGTGAACTCGTAAAGGTTGCCGCCCCTGCAGAACTCGTCGGTCGTCAAAAAGGGGTGAATTGGAAGTTTCTGTACCCCACTCTATGTTCGCTTCGCAGATGCTCTGGTTCGCGTACTCTTTTTCTTTCTCAATGCCTCCGGGTTTTCCGGCTGCTGCTCCGTGGCTGGCTGCCGCTCCTGTCAGAGCTCGCGCTGGTGTGTGCGAGGTTGGGGAGACATTTCATTGGCGTCATTGCAGAAACACAAGTCTGGCAGGGGCTTCGTGTCAGCCAACAGCCCCGGACTCCGCAAAGCCCGAGAAAGCAACCCAACATCAAAGCTAGAGAGATCGCTGCCACACTCTCCGGAACCCTGTGTGCATCCAGATCCACCCAAAGGCTCCGTGAACTCTCGCGACCGCGTTCTGCCTTGGCCTTCCGGGAGTTGCGGAGACAAAGCTGCTCCAATCATGCTTCAAACTTCAAACGCTATCTTGGACGGGCTAGACTCGGCTAGACCAATCCTTTCGTGAAGGCTCTGTAAACCGCGTTGCCCTGGGCCCATGCGAAGCTTGCAGGAACAAACGCCGAATGTTGCAGCGGTTTCACGATCAGATAACGCATAATTAGGTGGCCATTACTTGCCGTAAAGCACCCGAGGCAGGCAAAGCCAAGTCCAACTCCAGCCCTGCCACAAACCCGTAACACCTTCTCTCGAAGCACCGTGCATTAAGCGGAAAGTTTGGACCTTCGCTGAAGCTTTGGACCGGAGGTCGGCCTGGCAAAATGGGCCACAGAAGGCTCAGGCCAGTTGTGCGGAAAATGTTACGATTTTGGCCGAAGGGGCGGCTGCTGCTGCCAAAAAGACCGCTTGAAAGGGACGAAAGAGTGTTGGCAATCCGCGTGAGAACTTGAGAACACGGGACAAGCCGCTCGACAGGGACGAGAAGACTTGAGAGAAAGAAGCAAAAACGCCCGAAATGAGCAAAGAGTAGCAAACCCGAAACCTGGAAAGGGACCGGAGACCATTAGAAGAAGGGACGGGAACATGAAAGAAAGCATAGCAAAAGCTCGCCAAGTGGAGACTTGTCGCAAATCGTTTGATAAGGACAACAACAGTGCTAATGCGAACAGTAATAAGAGAAGAAGAAGAACACTAACAATAACAGTCATGCTAATAGAAATAAAACAACAAACAGCCGTACTAATAACACTAACCAAAATATTGATAGTGGTAGTGACAATAAATGAATTATAATAACAATAGTACTGACAATAACAATAACAAAAAATGATAATACCAACACTATTAAAGGCAATGACAAGACGACTCCTTCAACTTCCACCTCCACCACCACCGCCTCCGCCACCACCACCACCACCACCACCACCACCACTACCTGCTAAATGTCACATACCCAATGCCCGCGCTTTTGTACAGAATGCCATGATGCCGAATGGCTCAAGACTGGACGACTGCTTGATCGCACAAAGGAAAGTCTCTTGTTGATTGTGGTGATTGGGAAACAGACTGTTCACGTCCAGAGTGATCCCAACTGGTAGGATTGTATAGTGGAATTTTGCACTACCACCGCCACCACGACGACGACTACTACCGTGGCGACGACGACAACGACGACCACGACCACGGCGTTCACAGAGGTGAAGTGCTCACAATCAACCAGCGCGAGGACAACGGCCGGATGCCCACCCTGAGCTGCAGAGAGGGACAGAGAGCTAGCGAATAAGTAAGGCACCATCACTTCTCTTGCGACATGGGACGTTGTTTTCTGCTTTATCTCTGTCTTCACTCATAGCCAAAAGCTTGCTGTACAGTGCTCAGGCTACAGGGGGCATGCGGCATGCAGTGACAAAATGGAGCCTAGGGCGAAGCGTGAGTGCTCCATTCGATTATAACGGACGGTCCTCTTTGAGGATGGTCAAAACGGAGAGTTTAGGGTTTCAGGGAGGGGTTAGCGGAGTTTAGGGTTAAGGGCACAGTCTCTCGAGTACCTGCTCCAAGATGCTGGCGGCCTGCGTGCTGGCAGTGACTACTACGCAAGGCTGCTCGAGGATCGGGGCGAAGCCAGGATCTCAGTCCTGTATGCCTTGAGGCGGTTTCGCAGGCCACAGTAGTCCGGATCGTCACGGGTGGACAAAGAGCTGGAGCCCACTGTGACCAGCGTCTCTGTGCGCAGAAGCAGGTTCAGCTGCTGCAGGAGATTGGTAGCGACCTCTTGGAGTGCGAAGCCAAGGCCAGGGAGACCACGACCAAGCCAGGAGTTGAGGTCGCTGCGCAGGGCAGCCCAGCAGTCGCGAGAGCGTAGGCTCTTCTTCGGCTTCGCCAAGCTTTCGTGATCTCCAACGCCTTGCGGACCAACCATTGCAGAGGCCAGTAGGTGCCCACCGGCAGGGAGTAGTGCCAGTCGTCTCCCTCCGGCTGAACCAAGGGCTCCATCATCAAGCCTTCAGGAGTCAACGCCAAGTGGTTGTGCTGCAAGTACTCCTGCCACGTTGGCACGTCCTGCAGCCGCATTCGTTTCTTAGGTCGTCATCCACAGAACAGACGCAGACTGGGCATGGCTACTGGGTCTGGCCACTAGGTCTGGCCACTAGATCTTGGCCAGTAGATGTCTAGCCACTAGGTGTAACCACCAGGGGTGGCTCTTAGCGGTGGCCACTAGCTCTGGTTCGGCAGCGGCGGGTCTCTTCTTCTGTCCTCTGCAGTCCAAACGTTCCAGTGGCTTCGGTGCCGGCAGTCCAGCAGGTGGCGTGTTGTACTCCTGACTCTCTAGGAGCCGCTCGATCGTGTGGCATTCCGCGGAATGCGCAAGGGGCCGCTCACATAGTCGTGCACCGAATACCTGTGGCCTTTCTCCGCCTGATGCCCATGGAAATCTTCCATGAGCCCTTGGATCATCTGCTTCGAGAGGGGCTGTAAGAGTGATCCTTCGATCGTCCGCCGCTGTTCGGTCGGCTTTTGTGGGTGGATAGTCCAAGCACAAGAACAGGTGGTAGATTGCCAGCACCTGTTGTTGCACATGGCTCCCTAGGACCATCAAGGGCATGCCGATAGGGCTCCGATCCTCTGGTGCCGTCACCTCCATGTAAGGATCCACGGCAGGGCTCTGATCATCTCCTGACGTGACCTCCATGTGAGGATCCACGGCAGGGCCTGTCTCCGCGAGCTTGGACAAGACCTCGCGGATCTCAGTCGAAGGAGGCGTCGGAAACTCCGGCGAAGCCGAGGCCGAGCCCTCAGTCCTTCGAAGACGAGCCGTCGCCGGCGGAGTGAAGAGCTGGTCTTCCGTGAGGCTTCTCTTGCACCGTGGCGGTGTTTCGAGCCGAGGGCTCCGGGTTGATCAGTTCCTCAGAGCCCAAGGCCTCTGGCACGGAGCTGGGGGTGTCCATTTGTGTTGCACCGGCTGGCTCCGGTGAAGACAAAGGCACACATAGGACATCGGCAACTCCTAACTCGCCCACGGACTCCAGCTGTGTTGCATCCACTTCTTCTGCAAGCATGGGCATGTCCAGAGATACTGGATTCTCCGAGTCCTGCATGCTACTCGTTACTACTCTACCAGGCAAAATGCCCCTTTGGCTTGAGAGCTGACTGCGAGAGCAAGAGTCGAACCTCTAAAGGGAGCTTACGCGACATACCGCAAGGTATTGCTGCCCGGGGGCCTGGCCACCTCGCATCTCATTTCCATCCCCACGACCACCATGACCACGACCAACGACTATGCTGAGGACGACTAGTACTACTGCTGCCACTACCACCGTTATCACTACCACTACCATTACCAGTCATCACCACTATGATTACCAGTACCGCTGCCACCGCGAGACCGCCACCACCAACCGCATGACTGCAGCTGCGACTGCGTCTACGACTACGACGACGACTACTACTAGTACTGCTACTACCACTACAACTACCACTGCACCGCCGCCACCACCGCCACGGCTGCGACGACGACTACTACAGTTACCACCACTTCTACTACTGCTGCTGCTGCTACTCCTCGTCGTACTCCTACTACTACTTCTCCTCCTGCTGCTGCGTTGCAATTACTGCTGCTCCTGCTGCTGCTGCACTGACGTTGGTTTAAGCATGCCAGGGTGGCTTTGGCCATCGGACGCCCACATCAACAACGCATGATATCACTTGCCGGCAAGCAAGTAAAGCACTGAAGCCCACCTTGCGAATTTTACGGACCTCCGAGAGGGCACCCTCCAGCATCTGATGTGGGATGCGCCACTCCCGGATCCACTTGACCTGAAAGTTGTCAAATTCTGTGGGGCATTCTCAGGGGACTTGAGAGGTTGTCAACATACGCAGAACATGGACCGTTTCGCGATGTCCGGCTTCAAGCCGAACCCTGGGAATCCGAGGAGCTAGGCTTTGCCGGTTTTTCATCTTCGGGAAAGAGTCGAAGCCGAGAAATCGCAGTGCCTCCTCGTGCGGATCTTGCGCGAATCAAGACGAACACACCCGGCACAGCTGCAACTCCAACTCGCGGAGGCAAACGGCTGAAACAGTTCCCAAGCCAAAACTTTTGGACGGTAAACCCATTATTCCTTTTACCAGCAGCCAAGGTCCTAGCCCCAAGCGGGCCAAGCAATCTTGTACAGCATCACCTCCTCCAACCCCTGTCTAAATCAAAGCCGAAAGCCCCAAACTCAAAACCCCTGGCCGCAGAAAGTCACATGCCTGATACATCCAGCCTACAGTCCTCGAGCTCTGTCGTCTTTACTTCATCCACCCGAAAGCTCCGCGCACCTGATGCGAAATTTGCGGCTGGGGCACCTTTAGTGCAGCGTGCTCCCGCTTCATGTCAATAGTAAGCAAGCCAATCGTGAAGGAATCTGCAGCAAGCAAGCATGACAGAAGTAGCAGAAACTGCACAAAAATAGCGGTACACAAATTTCCGTCAGTCGACTAAATACCAAAACAAAGCAGCATCGAAGCCAAGAAGCTGCACAGGCCCAGAGGCAGAGAAGCTACGAGGAATGAAAGGCTGACAGGTCATCCCAAGCCAGGCCACGCAGGGAGGTGGCGCCCCGCTGCAGTCGCAGCGCAGCCCAGGCCGCGGCTGCCGAGACGAAGGGCCTAAGGCGGCTAAGGCGGCGGCCAACCGACCGCAATCGACGACCACATTTTGACGAGGGCGGCCGAGGCCGCGCGATTGCAACGGCGACGGCTGATGGCGACGCACGTCATGACAACTGTAAAGGCATGCTGATGCTAAACGTTGGCCGTGTGGCACGGCACTTCGAAGGACCTCTGGGAAGGTCGACAAGGTCGCCCTGCTTCCTTGCACACAAGTTGCAGGACTTTTCCGGACTTGGGCCTTCGAATTGCTTGCAATGTGGGGAGGATGTGGTGGTCCGGCTGCACATCCTCGGCTTTGAAGCTTCGGGGCTTAGCGTACCGGTACACACGCCAAGCCCAACCTGAGCTGAGAGTGTGCGGCTTATCCCTTAACAAGAGACTTCGCACGAGCAATGCAAGGCGCAGCATCCCACAAGCCATCTGGCAGTTCTGAATTGAAAAGTCGAAGTCAATTCGTCAAGCCCTCGTGCTCGAAAGCGAAGAACACTCGCAAGCTTGAGGCCGCGGGTCTTCCAAGAAGCGACGATCTCACACACACAGGCCGCAGAACTCCATCCTTAGGTCGGGCTTCCACTGCATTGTCACTGCATGGGCCGCTCCCTGCAAGTCATGACCTCAGTGCTCTCAAACTGCTAAGACGACAACCTGTAAAGCCATTTGTGTCTCGAAGCCACGAAGCGCCCAAATTCCTTCTCTCCTTCTCTAAAGGTAGCCAGAGACGAGAACCTCGCATTGCACCCAACCATCCCATCCTGATCCATGTCAGTCGGGACCGCACTCACCGCACCGCGAAGCAAGGCCGAACTCAAGAGGTTTTGCTTATCTCCTAAAGTCTAAAGCCCTTCGCAACCGAAACCTTCAATTTTTCCCCGCACAGGCGCCCGAAGGCCAAGCCCTTGCGGCGCGGCCGCCGGAAGGAGGGCCATGGAGCTACCAGGGAGGGCAGGGAGGGCAGGGAGGGCAGGGAGGGCAGGGAGGGCAGGGCAGGGCAGGGCAGGGCAGGGCAGGGCAGGGCAGGGCAGGGCAGGGCAGGGCACTATCAAGCCGTGGGTTAGACGTTTAAAGCTCTGACTGAATTCTTGGTCAAGGTTCAGGCTTTGAGATTAACGCTCAAGCTTGAGGGGCTAAGATCTTTGAGGCGCTGGAAATAGCGATGATGCGACCGTGACTCTTCTGGTCCGGATGGGTCTTTACGACTTGCACAACGGTACACCGTTCAACACAAACTCTTCGCGCTGCTCGCTTTGAACGGTGGCATGCCGTGCATCGCAGTCAAAACTGAGGCTTGGCACAAGCTTGGCGCATCAACTCGCTATGGGACTTAAGCCTGGAAGCCTTCAGGTTCAGGTCTTGTTGTGGAGGGTCTGGCGTTTAGGCCTTACAAAGTGCGCTGCAGTGAAAGGCTACAGAAAAGTCTTGTATCCTTCCATTTGACTCGGCAACCTCTGTCAGACACAGAGCCGTCCATCTCCTCCACGCTGCAGGGTTCCCAAGGTTCCATCAGACCTATGAGGTGGCCCTCCCGGAGCCTTGCAGCCTGAGGTCAAAGACTATCTTGTGTCTGAATGCATGCTTTTGCATGCGCTTCCGGTTCAAGCTCGAGTCAAGTATAGGCCCATTTACAACACGTCCGTGGCATTTCGATCGAAAGACAGCTTCCGGTTTTCCGTTTCAGTTTGATGGCCCTGGGCATGTAAGATCTTCCTAGGGCTTTCCTGTCCTGATTGTTGCGGGTTAAAGTTGCTATGCACTCGCTCTTGTCCAAGCTGGGCACGGCGCTGGGGCCTCCGAGTCCAACTCCTCCTCGAAGGAATTCTTAAGCCTTGAGAGCTTGCAGACATCAAGAAACAGCCGCTGGTTCTCAAAGAGGGTGCTGCATACGCAATGAAGGAGCAGACGCCTCGCTTTTGCCAGGGGCCACTAGGTCCGGACTGTAATTGCAACTGAAACGTCGCCAGGCTAAGGCCTGCTTCAAAGCTCAGATGAACCCTCGGGAGACATTCGTTGCCAAGCCAGGCTGAAGATGATAGGCTTCTCTATATTCAGCATGATGGCGAGTAATGGGAACTATAGATGTTCCGAGTCTTTTGCGAGCAGACAAAGTGGGTGCTAGACTCGGCCGCATCGGGGGTGAGATGACAGTGTTTGCAAATGTACAGCAGCCGTTGCTGTTCGATGACGGATGATGCGGCCGATCATATGATTCTCTTGCCCGAATTTGATCGTGGCGCTCTAGCTGACCGCCGCAGACCACTGGGAAATGTAAACTGCATTAGAAGTGCGCTCCTGTACTGCTGCTTGCAATCGCAACAAATGCCCAACATCCTGACCATCTCCCCGAAGACTGAAACCTCACGTCGGCTGGAGCTCCACACATTCCGCGATTCTGGCAGTCGGGGCGGCGGACTTGCAGAACAAACACGTCTGGGCCCTTTTCTGGGCCACCCCTGCCAGGCCCGACCGGCAGCTTTCGCTGCTGGAAATCTACCACAGCTCGCCCGGCTGAGGTCAGCAAGGACCAGGCTTCGCTGTTTCAGGGAGTCCTCGGGTGCCTACTTCGAGCACGGCAAGGCTATCAGAGATAGGCACTGACGAGGTTCGAGATTGGTTCGGTTGACCGTTGCATTGCATTGACTCCAGGATGCGCACAGATTCGGAACACAAGTTCGAACGCAGGCAGGACCAAATCGAAAAACTAAAGCATGTCAGGAAAACGTTGGGAGATAACTTCGCAAAACCCCAGGAGCCATTCAGGAAAACCGACGGCATAAACCACTGCAAACGGGTGCCTCGCGTCGTCGGCAGCACAACAAGACTCAGAGCTAATGTTGTCGGGATCAGACAAAGGCACCAAGGCAACCTCCTCTTGAAGACTTGAAAAATCATGAATACAGCAATGCCTCACTATTGCGCACTGTTGTCCTTCCGCTTCCGATGCCCCCAAGCAGCAGCCCGCAGGCCAACCTACATGCTGAATTATGCCATTATGTTGGACGGCAATCCCTGAATGTTCTGCGGGGCAATCTCTCAACCTGTTTGTGCATCTGGACTCCATCCTCCCAAGAAGGGTGTTGGTTGGCAAACCCAAAACTGCAGCCCCAACTCTTACCGGAGATGGTTGGCAAACCCACACAAGCCCCAAACCTGAAAATCTGAAAAGGAGCCAACCCCAACCCGTAGCAGAAGATCGTTGCTGGCAAACCCCAAACCCAAAAAGACTGGTTTGCAGCAGCTGCAGCAGCAGAAAAGGTAGCAGCAGCCACAGCAGCACCACAGCAGCAGCAGCTGCAGCAGCAGAACCACGATTCGGCGTTGAATAGGTTCTCAGGATTTTCCGACTCGTCTTTCTGAATAGGCGGTTGTGTTCCTGGTCCGCCGGGTTTGCCGAATTTATTTGCTGAATCGGTGCACTTTCAGAAACCCTCTGCTCTTACCCCTAACAAGCACCGTGGAATTAGGAGCCGTCAACCCAATACCAGGCACTGCTACCCTCTGCGGTTCGAACTCGGATTCAGCTCTTCTGCGAAGGGAGATCGTAGATTGAGGAATGTGCCCGCCACACAAAGACAGGCCATCAAGATCCACTCATACCATGCATGGATGCCCTGACAGCAAATCCTTGCCTTGTGGCCCTGTGCAAATTTCAGCTCCGTGTCGTGCAGTGAAACTCAGAGTTCAGAGTCTTGGTTTGGGGGCAGGTTTGGTAGGCTGGGGCTTGGGAAAATCCAATCCAAATCCCAGAACAATCTTCCCAAACACCTTGAAGACTTTTCAATCAGAGGCTTTATCCGAAGGGCTTTGTGAGAGTTGGGAGCGGGGATGCTGCACGCGTTCGGAGCCTGAACAAACGGCTCATGTAACGTGACCACTGCAGAGTCAAACTTGCCAGGGTCGGGAGAATCATATGCTCTTGAGGTCTCTTTCGGTTTGGTGGGAAACACGAGGAAGGTCGGTCTCAGCTGCATGGTCTCGAAAAATTTCCTGCACGTGTTTGCGTGCAGCCTGCTCGACAGCTCAAGGCTCCAGCTGTCGCTTGTCCTCAAGATCGATTCCGCCAGTGGCTGGACTCCGGCCTTTATTGACTCTCAGCACGACATGCTGCCATCGCTACACAACCTTAGTGATAGGTGCCTTGGTATCAGAGCCCCGACATTGACTTAGAAGCATGATCCCAAAAAACCCGCATTCTGTCGAGGCGACTCCTTGCTTCGGCTATTGTTGACCTTTCGTGCCGACCAAATCAAGAAGTCCCGCACCGCCCCAACCGAACCCTGCGCAGCTGAAGGCGGCTTGCTGTCCTCACTGGAGGAGTTTCCGCACGGGTGAGAACATGAATGCCGGGTCATTCCGTGGCCCGTAGAACCATGTCTTGAACCTGCCCGGATGCTCGATACTGCGGTGGTGCCGGGGTTCAAGGTGTTGTCCATGTGGGATTTTTCCGGCTTCTGCAACGCAAGCAAGGGGTTCATGTGCCATACATCGGTGAACGTAGACGCTAGCGAAAGTGCGTAAGTGCGCAATCAAAGGGGCGGCAAAGGACAGGTCAGGCTCTCAGTGCATCATCAATTTTTGTAACATAACCACAAGATCTTGCTCACGCCATTCTGCTTCGACGCCGCAGGCTAGCTTAAGCTCAGCTGGCTCACTCACTGCGAGCGTTTAAAATGGCTCCTGTATGCTCAGGCATGAACGCCAAGGGAAGCCAAGCAAGACATGAACCTGTTCACTTCATCAAGCAATCCCGAACCTTACCCCTGAACCTCACCTCCTGCATCAGGCCTTGCGAAACGGCAAACCTCCCCCCCCCAACTCACATATTGCTGCCCAATGGCTCATCTATAGAGAGGCGGCCATCGTGATTCCTTGGGCTTGGATCTGGGTCACATGATTTCGGATTGACGGTCTAGGCTTGGTTTTGTACTTCGAGGCTTCCGGTATTGCTTGGTTGAACGCTGGGTTCGTGGCATTCCGCCACTGCGCTCAGCAAGTTTTGAGGTGCAGAATCATAACGTGGCGCCCGTCACTCGCTGCACTGCCAGGCCAAGGCACACAACAAAGCTCGATGAGCTCTAGAGACAGCCAGGTGCTAAGGGTTTCAACATTAACCC